ATATTGATACAGAAAATAAAACCACATTATTTATTGAACCAATAGTAGAGCCAGAAATGGATGAAGATAGAACTGAAAAAGAAACATTATCATTTACTGATTCTTCCACTGAAACTATACAAGCTCAATTGAACAAAGTAAAGTATACTGAAGAAGAATCATCAGAACCTAATAATTCTTCAAATGAAGTAGTTGGGGAAAAGTCTTATATGAACATTGAAGTTATTGACGATCAAAATCATACGAATACAAATATTGATCAAGAGCCTCTGGTATCAAATAATTCGTCAGATGAAGTAGTGGGAGAAAATACGAATATACCAATTGGTATAATAATAGAATCTAGAGAGGTATCAAAAGTAAATATAAAAGAAAATATTTTTGAAACAGAAAAAACACCATGTATTAATTCTTCCGCTGTAAGCGTAAATGTTCAAACATATGAAGAAAAAAATATTAAAAGAGAATATCCTACACCAATTACTTTCTTAGGTAAAATCCTGGATGGAAACACGAAAGTGAATATTGATGCAGAAAATGAATCACTTTTACTAATAGAATCAAACGAGGAATCGGTGTTGGAACCAAAAGTAGAAAAAGACACAGTAACTGTAGACGTTCAAGCATATGTAGAAAAAGTTGTGGAAGAAGAATCTTCATCACCAATTAATTCCTTTAGTGAAGTAGTGGAAGAATATACAAATGGGAATGTTGATATAGAAAATGAAACAATTTTACAAATTGATATTTCTACAGCGGCTACAAATTCAGTTATAGAAGAAAAAGTTACAGAAAACGAATATTCAATTTCTTCATTTTTAGTTGCTGGAAAACAAATTAATATTATTGATTCTGAAACAGAAACTCTATCATCCATTGAAACATACATGACATTTGTAGATGAACCAAATGTGGTAGGGTATTTATCTGTAAATGAACATGAAGCACATATAGATTCTTCAAGCTTAAAGAAACAAATAAAAATCGATTCAGAAACAGAAATCGAAACTTTATCATTAGTTGACAATTTAACTGAGTCTGTTAAGGAACAAATAGTTGAAAAAATTACTGAAAATAAAACTCCGACACTAATTGATTGTTCATCTGAAATTGTATTGCAAGGAAATAAAGTGGACATGGATACAGATAGTCAAACACCATTACCAATTAACAAATTTTCAACAACTGTAGTTGATCAGATAGTAAAAAACGTTATTGAAAATGAAACTCCAACTTATTGTTTAGTGGATGTTTCAGAAGAACAAACGAAAGTGAACATCAAAAATAATATAGAAACTTTCACGCCAATTGATATTTGTACTTCATCTGTAGGGAAACAGTTAAATGTGGAATATTTATCTGAAAATGAACATACAGCACAAATCGAAAAGGAGAGTAGAAATGAAACTTCAACACCGGTTAATTATTCAACTTCGATCACAATAGAACAAACTGACCTACACAATTTAGCTGAAAGAACATTACCGAATGATGACATTTTGTCTAGAAATACTAAAACAAATTCAATTGATAGAGATAGTAAAACTGAAAATTCAGATAATTCTAATAATTGTTATTTAAAATTTGGAGAAACGTCTAAAATACGTACTTTTGAAAATGAAGACAATTTACAGAGAAAATCGTATGGAATTCAAAAATTAGAAATGTCCGTTCAACGTATGAAAACATCCGATGAAGATTATTATGAAAAAACTTTTGTACAGTTGGAACAAACTGAAAAAATTTCTAAAGTAGATGACGTCAATGTTGATGGTGAAAATAAAACTACTATTGACGACAAATTATACACAGTCAACGAATCCGACTTAAACGCAATATTATGTGCATCTTCTCTTGAACAAGCACTTACCTTGTTGGATTCCAAGATAAAGTTCAAATTTAAACATAAGAAGTCATCGAAAATAAACGCTATGGAAAATATTCCGAAAATTCAAACATCTGAAAGTCAAAGTAGTGGTGTAAACACCAACTTTACAGATGCTCGAGAATTCTTTAAGGAAATTGAAAAAAAATCTAAAAAATAAAACATGATGAAGTAAAAGTTATATTTTATTTTTTTGTACTAATTCAATAATCAGCAAAATTATTATTTCATAACCTGAATTAAGACTAAATTGCCAAAAATGTCTAAAATTATAGTGATTTTTTTTTTAAACTACTCACTATAATTTGGTTTTAATATTAAACAAACTTATAGATGTATGACAATTTTTTTAATTCTATCAAATGTTTATTCAAACTAATGGTTATGCCGTTAATACAACATTCTTTAATGATAGCCAACAAATTAACGACATCACCGAAGAATTATGAGCTATCAGATTGTTCGACAAATATATATTATTTATACTTACAAATGGAATATGATGTACATATTATACTATCCCTGGACAATTTTTGTTTGTAATTAACACAATAAAATTGATTCTTAATAAGAAAGAAAAATGTATAAATAAATATTTTATTACCTTTTGCACATCATTTTTGTCATTTACCATATCCTGTTTTTTTCCAATTAGCTTCTATTCGATTGTCACTATTTGTACCATCGAAATATGCTTTAAATCATAAAAAGTAGTAGAGTTTCAAATTCAATCACAAATATTTACATTATAAAATGTATAATATATAGATAAGGCTCGGATTTCAATACTATATGTAGTTTTTAGAACATATTTATACATATTACGAGTTTTAAGTGTCAAATGAGATCATTATCTCAATAAAAATGTAAATAATCTCGAACCATTTTACTAAATGTGATATTCATAACTCAAAAGTAATAGTTTATTAGGTATATAATAGTTTAAAGTAAGTTTTAAACACAGGATAACCAGAAGGGACGCTCTCTGAACACTCAAAATTGTATTCAATTTGTTGGAAAACCGGTGTACCCATGTACATAACAAAAATGTACAATTCTTTTCTCTGGTCACACTGATACTGCTAACTTTTACATGCATTTTACTATCCATAGACATAATATAAAACACAGTCTTAGATTATTAGGTCTGGCAACTAATCCTCGGTTATAAAGCTCTTATTGTAGGGTCCCACTTTGGTGGCGCTATCTACCAGCCAAATACCATTGTAGTATTTTTTATTTGGATGATTGGTTGTAGACTTAAAAACATTAATTAAGTACTTGGTTTTAACGATCCATTGACCATTATGGGCATTATTTTGCTCATAGTAATAATCTATGAGTCTATGACTGTAAAATACCGCTAATTATACAGATTACCGTTAGCACATTGTCCTTACCTGTAAGCTGTAATATATAAATATATTATTCATATTTATTAAAATGATACGAAATTGTTGTACATGTAACTGTACAACTACAAGAGTATCTACATTTCATGTAACCCAAAATCGTCTGGAAAGTTGAGGAGTGGTTCAGGGTAAAATTTTAAAAATTGGGGATAGGATATGTCAATCACATTTTTCAAAAGAATTTGTTAAGAAAGAAGACATAAAACCTAATAGAACCAAAATAGTAAGCAAAAATGTACATAATGTTGTTGTATTTAATTAGCTAAGCAAATAGATTTTTTTATTAAACTATATTTTGTATTTCTTTCATAAAAATTTAACAAAATGCAACATAAAATTTTTAGAAAAGTTTTTTAACGGATTCATTAACATACTTTTAGTTAATTTCACTTACATTTAGTATTTTAAATTTAATTTGTTCAAATTTACATATTTATCTAAAATGTTTTTTTTTTAATTATTATTATTATTATTATTATTATTAGTTATAAACTTAAAAAAATATTTTTATCTCATTAGAAATATAAGGAGGCACGTCCGAGCTATGCCTATACTTCCTGGAATGTTAAATTCTACAGTTAGCGATGAAATTTTAGCTTTACCTGTTCAGCTTTCGCATGTCACGAAAAACTAAATTCAACCAAAAACGAATACACATAAATGTTACTCCTTGTAACGGAGTAGCCGTCACCACATAAAAACGGTCCTTTTCAGGACCACCAATCAGCGGACAGTATGCTAGCACAAGCCACACACACTAACGTTAGGGACAATTACTAAGCCCCAAGTAACAGCACAACAAAAACAATAAGAGTTACATATAGTCAGACGAATCTAACGACACCCTCCCCAAGTCAATAACCCCAAAATTGAATAAACCACAGGACTTCCCGTACAACTAGTAAACACTACTATACACGGCGGCAGCGAATAGTTTACTAGTCGGTACGGCAGACTGCTTATATACCGGACATTTCCACACCATCGA